TGGTGGTAGCAGGGGTGTGATGGTAGCAGTGGTAGCAGGGGTGTGGTGGTAGTAGGGGTGTGGTGGTAGCAGTGGTAGCAGGGGTGTGGCGGTAGCAGGGGTGGGGTGGTAGCAGTGGTAGCAGGGATGTGATGGTAGCAGTGGTGTGGTAGTGACAGGGGTGTGGTGGTAGCAGTGGTGAGGTGGTAGCAGGGGTGTGGTGGTAGCAGGGGTGTGATGGTAGCAGGGGTGTGGTGGTAGCAGGGGTGTGGTGGTAGCAGGGGTGTGATGGTAGCAGTGGTAGCAGGGGTGTGGTGGTAGCAGGGGTGTGGTGGTAGCAGGGGTGTGGTGGTATCAGGGGTGTGGTGGTAGCAGGGGTGTGGTGGTAGCAGGGGTGTGGTGGTAGCAGGGGTGTGGTGGTAGCAGGGGTGTGGTGGTAGCAGGGGTGTGTGGTAGCAGTGGTGAGGTGGTGACAGGGGTGTGGTAGTAGCAGTGGTGAGGTGGTAGCAGGGGTGTGTGGTAGCAGGGGTGTGGTGGTAGCAGTGGTAGCAGGGGTGTGGTGGTAGTAGGGGTGTGGTGGTAGCAGTGGTAGCAGGGGTGTGGCGGTAGCAGGGGTGGGGTGGTAGCAGGGGTGGGGTGGTAGCAGGGGTGTGGTAGTAGCAGTGGTGAGGTGGTAGCAGGGGTGTGTGGTAGCAGGGGTGTGGTGGTAGCAGTGGTAGCAGGGGTGTGGTGGTAGTAGGGGTGTGGTGGTAGCAGTGGTAGCAGGGGTGTGGCGGTAGCAGGGGTGGGGTGGTAGCAGGGGTGGGGTGGTAGCAGGGGTGTGGTGGTAGCAGGGGTGTGTGGTAGCAGGGGTGTGTGGTAGCAGGGGTGTGGTGGTAGCAGGGGTGTGGCGGTTGCAGGGGTGTGGCGGTAGCAGGGGTGTGGTGGTAGCAGGGGTGTGGTGGTAGCAGGGGTGTGGTGGTAGCAGGGGTGTGGCGGTAGTAGTGGTAGCAGGGGTGTGGCGGTAGTAGTGGTAACAGGGGTGTGGTGGTAGCAGGGGGGTAGTGGTAGCCCTAGAACTCAGTATCTTTCTAATTCTACTTTCTCTGTCTTTAATTCTACTTTCTCTGTCTCTAATTCTACTTTCTCTGTCTCTAATTCTACTTTCTCTGTCTCTAATTCTACTTTCTCTGTCTCTAATTCTACTTTCTCTGTCTCTAATTCTACTTTCTGTCTTAAATTCTACTTTTTATGTAATAAATTCTACTTTCTCTGTAGTTTGTATTTCGGTCAACTACAGACGAAACACGCAATGCACTTACTTCCTCTACGTGCTTTCAATGAAATAATTACTCAGCTATTATCTTCCTGTTTATCCCTTCGTATGCCGAGGTTTCAGAAACAGGTGAACTCTACTTCATCTGCTCCGTGTCCCGCGATCCTCATATGAATAATACATGAATAAATTATTTAAGCTAACGACAAAATAATAATTAATTAGAACCATTCACATGCGTTGTGATTTCCCACTCTGCACTTTCTATGTAGGAAAAATAATTTTGCATACTTTTCTCCGACAAAGCTAAGTTATTAAATAAAAAGTTCTAAATTCTAGTTTCTCCAAAATAAAATCATTATATTATCGTATTGGAAAGTCTGTTATGCGTATCTTGAAAATTTGATAACACTGTTAGAACCAAATAAAGTTAATAGACAGATATAGATCTATTGTTAAAACCAGTGCCGGCGCGTTTTTCAGTGTGGGAAAATATTACTTTTCTCTTATTTTAACGTTTATTATTAATGTATTATATTATTAATTTGTTGAAAAGTTAGGCAATCCATCACAGAGTACCGCACCTATTTAAAAAAAAAAAAAAAGCACTGTTAAGGCTTTAGCCGACAGAAAATTTAGCTGTATAATGCATTAAACTTTTCAATGGGCAACATGGTCTAATTGTCCTGGAAGTCATGTTGTGAACGTATTTGTTCTCAACTTGTATAATTAAAAGTCTGTTTCTATATTTGAACATGTCACTCATTTAAGTTAAATCTTTACATAAATTTGTATATTACATATTTTAAAAAAACCCACTTACTTTAAAGTTTTACACACAGTGCAGATACTCGGATCAAGCGCAACCGACAAACAAAATAAATAAATAAACAGATAGGCCTCTACACAGTGGCGTAGCTAGGTCGGGTGTCACCCGGTGCGGCACTTCATGGTGTCACCCCCTCCCTACACACACCAAGGGGAAAAAAGTATATATATATATATATATATATATATATATATAGGGGATGGGTGGGTATGTGCGTGTGTGTGTATGTGTATGTATTGTCGAGATGGTCAATGTGTACTTCTAAGACTTTTAAACTTTTAATTATTCAATAACTGAACAGGCAAAAAGCATGTTTCTTCTATATACTTTGCAATTTTTCGTCTTGGTGTCATCCCCTAAATGGTGTCACCCGGTTCGGTCCGCACCCCCCGCCCCCGCCTCACGACGCCTCTGCCTCTACAAATATCTGAGTTTTAAATTGCCGCTTTGCTTGAAAAAAATGTCTGCTCTAAAAAACAAAAACGCTTTCTTAACTTGTAGACTTTTTATTTCATTAATTTAGTTTCAATTCTTAATCTTTTTTTTTATTTCATTAATTTAGTTTCAATTCTTAATCTTTTTTTTTTAGTTTTAATAAAATGGTTATCATCCATTTTTCTCAGGCTATCCCACAGTTTAACCCCAAGCCCTAGTTTAGATATAATACGTTCACTTCTGTTCTCAATGCCATGTGCACTACAAACACAATAAACAACGCCTAAGTTATACTCAGTTCCGGACCCGAAACCTTCATGATAACTGCCGTACGTTCTACTGGGGAGGTGTTAACGGTAGACGGCCGTACGTTCTACTGGGGAGGTGTTAACGGTAGACGACCGTACGTTCTACTGGGGAGGTGTAAACGGTAGACGACCGTACGTTCTACTGGGGAGGTGTTAACGGTAGACGACCGTACGTTCTACTGGGGAGGTGTTAACGGTAGACGGCCGTACGTTCTACTGGGGAGGTATAAACGGGAGACTGCCGTACGTTCTACTGGGGAGATGTTAACGGTAGACGGCTGTACGTTCTACTGGGGAGATGTTAACGGTAGACGGCCGTACGTTCTACTGGGGAGGTATAAACGGGAGACTGCCGTACGTTCTACTGGGGAGATGTTAACGGTAGACGGCTGTACGTTCTACCGGGGAGGTATAAACGGTAGACGGCCGTACGTTCTACTGGGGAGGTGTTAACGGTAGACGGCCGTACGTTCTACCTGGGAGGTATAAACGGGAGACTGCCGTACGTTCTACTGGGGAGATGTTAACGGTAGATGGCTGTACGTTCTACTGGGGAGGTATAAACGGTAGACGGCCGTACGTTCTAATGGGGAGGTGTTAACGGTAGACGGCCGTACGTTCTACAGGGGAGGTATAAACGGTAGACGGCCGTACGTTCTACAGGGGAGGTGTTAACGGTAGACGACCGTACGTTCTACTGGGGAGATGTTAACGGTAGACGGCCGTACGTTCTACAGGGGAGGTATAAACGGTAGACGGCCGTACGTTCTACAGGGGAGGTATAAACGGTAGAAGGCCGTACGTTCTACTGGGGAGATGTTAACGGTAGACGGCCGTACGTTCTACTGGGGAGATGTTAACGGTAGACGGCCGTACGTTCTACTGGGGAGGTATAAACGGTAGACGACCGTACGTTCTACTGGGGAGATGTTAACGGTAGACGGCCGTACGTTCTACTGGGGAGATGTTAACGGTAGACGACCGTACGTTCTACTGGGGAGGTATAAACGGTAGACGGCCGTACGTTCTACTGGGGAGGTATAAACGGTAGACGACCGTACGTTCTACTGGGGAGATGTTAACGGTAGACGGCCGTACGTTCTACTGGGGAGATGTTAACGGTAGACGACCGTACGTTCTACTGGGAGGTGTTAACGGTAGACGGCCGTACGTTCTACAGGGGAGGTATAAACGGTAGACGAAAAAAAGACCGTGCTTATTTCGGTAAACGGCGATCTATATTTATTTTAAGACATTTATAACAGACGTTTGACTGGTTTTTTAGAACGCTATATGTTGGTTTTTTTTTAAATGCATATTTATTATAAGCTTTTACTCAGTCCACGATATCCCTGGCATGTGGCAAACTTTATTTTGACCCTTTTCTAATGCAGCGATTTCTTTCAAACTTTCAAGATACTTCTTCGATGACAATGCATGAATACACTTTTTAAAACCTAATTACATAGTAAAATGGTCATTAACTTTTGATTTTAAATTTCTAAATTTAGTAACAAATCTAAAGCGATTACTCCATCAGTCTGCTTACAACGGTCAGCTGTTTTCACGGTTGGCTGATTTGTCACCTGCACGTACTAAGTGGGGGCAGATAACTCTCTTGTTAGAGGTCACAAGCTATTGGTCGGGGTTTAACTTCCAATCCAAAGGATCATTAAAATTTGGAAAATATAACAAAAGGAAAACCTTTATGATAACAAGCCAAGACTAAGAATTTGCAATGAATAAAAGGAATAATCATCTTTTGTTGCATCTACCTTAAGAGGATATTAGCAGTGTTTATTTCATCGACAGCCCATTGGCGAAAATACGTGAGTTACTTATTTCGTCTACCATTGATGGAAATAAGCATTATCAAATATATCATGATGTAATTTATGTTAAACTCTGTTAAAATTTCGTTCTAAAATCGAAAAAATATGTATGCTAAATATAGATCGCTTTTGTCCGTTGTTTATTTCGTCTTTAATTCTGGTTTTTGTTAGCCTCTAACTGCTATTCTTCTCTCCCCCGACCTCCCCCTCTCCATTTATTCACCCCCCCCCCCCTCTCCACACACACACTGACTATCTGTAGGTTAAAAAGCCTTAATGACCTGACTGCGAATCTCGATAAAACATTTGATGAAAAGTAAACAAAACATTGACACGTTATATTTGCTTCTGTCGTCTCACAGGATACTTGAATGTATCAAGCTTGTGGATAACCTGCACCCAGCTTGTGGATAGCCTGCACACAGCTTGTGGATACCCTGCACCCAACGACTGGATAGAATTAACGAGTTTGTGGATGATTGCTGGATAGAAAAACAGATTGATAGTAGCTGAGCACAGGTGAGTCATTTGATGATAATTGTATTAAGACTAGAGTAGGAGTACAGTTTACGACAAGTGTTATAGAGTGGGAGTGCAGTTTACGACAAGTGTTATAGAGTAGGAGTACAGTTTACGACAAGTGTTATAGAGTAGGAGTGTAGTTTACCAGGTCCATGCAAGTCACAAATGAAAATGACGTATTGGGCTCAGTCACCTCTAACCTCTAGGCTGTAATCAAGCAGTTCCACAACTGAGGGTCTAATGTCTAATGGCCAGACAAAATAACATCAGCTTTATTATTTTATGCGGTAATGAGGGATTTGGGTGGCGAAAATTCGATCGTAGAAATGTGTGTCTGTCTGTAGAGGGTGGGGTGAGAACCAATTTCATTAACGAAGCGTTAATCAATACTTTGTATCGCTTCGTAGACACGCACATAGCAATGGGCCCTATTTACGCTATATATGAAAAAGTCACATGAGGCTTACATCTTATTTCACTTGTCTATAAAATAGTCACATGATGCATACATATTAATTCACTTGTCTATATAAAAAAGTCACATGATGCATACATATTAATTCACTTGTCTATAAAAAAAAGTCACATGATGCATACATATTAATTCACTTGTCTATAAAATAGTCACATGATGCATACATATTAATTCACTTGTCTATTAAAAAAGGCACATGATGCATACTTATTAATTCACTTGTCTATATAAAAAAAGTCACATGATACATACATCTATTTCACTTGTCTATAAAACAAACGCATGATGCACAAGTCTTATTTTACTTTTCTGTAAAATAGTCACATGGCTTAGCACTCTTGATACACATTTGCTTAATTCACATTAATTAATTGCACATTAATTGAAGTTTTCCTTATCTCCAGAACAGCAGACAAGTGTCATTTGACATCAAACAATGTGTCATTTGACATCAAACAAAGTGTCATTTGACATCCAACAATGTGCGATTTGACATCAAACAATGTGTCATTTGACATCAAACAATCTGTCATTTGACATCAAACAATCTGTCATTTGACATCAAACAATGTGTCATTTGACATCAAACAATGTGTCATTTGACATCAAACAATGTGTCATTTGACATCAAACAATGTGCGATTTGACATCAAACAATGTGTCATTTGACATCAAACAATCTGTCATTTGACATCAAACAATGTGCGATTTGACATCAAACAATGTGTCATTTGACATCAAACAATGTGTCATTTGACATTAAATAATGTGTCATTTGACATCAAACAATGTGTCATTTGACATCAAACAATGTGTAATTTGACATCAAACAATGTGTCATTTGACATCAAACAATGTGTCATTTGACATCAAACAATGTGTCATTTGACATCAAATAATGTGTCATTTGACATCAAACAATGTGTCATTTGACATCAAACAATCTGTCATTTGACATCAAACAATGTGTCATTTGACATCAAACAATCTGTCATTTGACATCAAACAATGTGCGATTTGACATCAAACAATGTGTCATTTGACATCAAACAATGTGTCATTTGACATCAAACAATGTGTCATTTGACATCAAACAATGTGTCATTTGACATCAAACAATATATTACTTAAAGACCTCGTCTCGTTAGTATCTTTACCTCCACCATAAGAAGTCGGATGCTAGCTATATCCTATCCAGCCACATTCCCCGCTATACCACATCTAGCCACATTCCACATGCCCTGCTATACCACATCTAACCACATGCCCTGCTATACGACATCTAACCACATGCCCTGATATACCATATCTAACCACATGCCCTGATATACGACATCTAACCACATGCCCCGACATACCACATCTAGCCACATCTAACCACATGCCCTGCTATACCACATCTAGCCACATCTAGCCACATGCCCTGCTATACCACATCTAACCACATGTCCTGATATACCACATCTAACCACATGCCCTGATATACCACATCTAGCCACATGCCCTGATATACCATATCTAACCACATGCCCTGATATACCACATCTAACCACATGCCCTGCTATACCACATCAACCACATGTCCTGATATACCATATCTAACCACATGCCCTGCTATTCCACATCTAGCCACATGCCCTGCTATACATCTAACCACATGCCCTGATATACCACATCTAACCACATGCCCTGCTATACATCTAACCACATGTCCTGATATACCACATCTAGCCACATGCCCTGATATACCATATCTAACCACATGCCCTGATATACCATATCTAACCACATGCCCTGCTATACCACATCTAACCACATGCCCTGCTATGCCACATCTAACCACATGCCCTGCTATACCACATCTAACCACATTCCCTGATATACATCTAACCACATGCCCTGATATACATCTAACCACATGCCCTGATATACCACATCTAGCCACATGCCCTGCTATGCCACATCTAACCACATGCCCTGCTATACCACATCTAACCACATTCCCTGATATACCACATCTAACCACATGCCCTGATATACCATATCTAACCACATGCCCTGCTATACCACATCTAACCACATGCCCCGATATACCACATCTAACCACATGCCCTGCTTTTGCCACACCCAATCATGCAGTTAATCTCTGTTTACGATTCTATCTGAAATCAAGAATTATGTGTCAAACTTAAGTAACTTAGCCAGTAATCCCAGGATGCTTTGTTCCACTTTTAACTATCCAAAATTGATTTTAAAATAGCCGAGTTTCGCAACATCTTGGACATAAACGTTAGCCCTATGTATTGAAACGCGAGTTCCACAAGAACAACCGGCACGTTTTTCTAAGTTACCGCTATGTGTTTGCTACTTTTTCTTTTTGCTACGAGCTCATAAAACTATCTCTTGTGGTGCCACCTGGCGGCATTCCTGCGCTCTTCGGTTCCACATTTGTAGCTTCCATTATTTACACTGACAGCAGGAACTTGGTCTTGAATTCATTGCGTGAATGGAGCGTCATAAACTATGGGGCTAGGTCTGGCTATATTGTAGGTTCTAGTGTGTCTTGACTTTTTAGGCTAGGGTCTAGCCATATTGTAGGTTCTAGTGTGTCTTGACTTTTTAGGCTAGGGTCTAGCCATATTGTAGGTTCTAGTGTGTCTTGACTTTTTAGGCTAGGGTCTAGCCATATTGTAGGTTCTAGTGTGTCTTGACTTTTTAGGCTAGGGTCTAGCCATATTGTAGGTTCTAGTGTGTCTTGACTTTTTAGGCTAGGGTCTAGCCATATTGTAGGTTCTAGTGTGTCTTGACTTTTTAGGCTAGGGTCTAGCCATATTGTAGGTTCTAGTGTGTCTTGACTTTTTAGGCTAGGGTCTAGCCATATTGTAGGTTCTAGTGTGTCTTGACTTTTTAGGCTAGGGTCTAGCCATATTGTAGGTTCTAGTGTGTCTTGACTTTTTAGGCTAGGGTCTAGCCATATTGTAGGTTCTAGTGTGTCTTGACTTTTTAGGCTAGGGTCTAGCCATATTCTAGGTTCTAGTGTGTCTTGACTTTTTAGGCTAGGGTCTAGCCATATTGTAGGTTCTAGTGTGTCTTGACTTTTTAGGCTAGGGTCTAGCCATATTGTAGGTTCTAGTGTGTCTTGACTTTTTAGGCTAGGGTCTAGCCATATTGTAGGTTCTAGTGTGTCTTGACTTTTTAGGCTAGGGTCTAGCCATACTGTAGGTTCTAGTGTGTCCTGACTTTTTAGGCTAGGGTCTAGCCATATTGTAGGTTCTAGTGTGTCTTGACTTATGGGCTAGGGTCTAGCCATATTCTAGGTTCTAGTGTGTCCTGACTTTTTAGGCTAGGGTCTAGCCATATTGTAGGTTCTAGTGTGTCTTGACTTTTTAGGCTAGGGTCTAGCCATATTGTAGGTTCTAGTGTGTCTCGTCCCCTGTGTCTTGATATTATAGATTAGCTAGGGTCTAAGCTACTTGGTAACGTAACAATATGGCCTCTGGGGGTAACAAATCGTCACACATAGAGGATAATATCTAACTAATTTGCCTTGTAGTGGCCAAATTTCCAGACATGTGTAGACCAAACCTCTGCTCTCTGGCCAAATTTCCAGACATGTGTAGACCAAACCTCTGCTCCCTGGCCAAATTTCCATGTGTAGACCAAACCTCTGCTCCCTGGCCAAATTTTCATGTGTAGACCAAACCTCTGCTCCCTGGCCAAATTTCCATGTGTAGACCAAACCTCTGCTCTCTTGCCAAATTTTCATGTGTAGACCAAACCTCTGCTCCCTGGCCAAATTTCCATGTGTAGACCAAACCTCTGCTCCCTGGCCAAATTTTCATGTGTAGACCAAACCTCTGCTCCGTGGCCAAATTTCCAGACATGTGTAGACCAAACCTCTGCTCTCTGGCCAAATTTTCATGTGTAGACCAAACCTCTGCTCCCTGGCCAAATTTTCATGTGTAGACCAAACCTCTGCTCTCTTGCCAAATTTTCATGTGTAGACCAAACCTCTGCTCTCTTGCCAAATTTCCAGACATGTGTAGACCAAACCTCTGCTCCCTGGCCAAATTTTCAGACATGTCTAGACCAAACCTCTGCTCCCTGGCCAAATTTTCATGTGTAGACCAAACCTCTGCTCCCTGGCCAAATTTTCATGTGTAGACCAAACCTCTGCTCTCTTGCCAAATTTTCATGTGTAGACCAAACCTCTGCTCTCTTGCCAAATTTCCAGACATGTGTAGACCAAACCTCTGCTCCCTGGCCAAATTTTCAGACATGTGTAGACCAAACCTCTGCTCCCTGGCCAAATTTTCATGTGTAGACCAAACCTCTGCTCTCTGGCCAAATTTCCAGACATTTGTAGACCAAACCTCTGCTCCCTGGCCAAATTTCCAGACATGTGTAGACCAAACCTCTGCTCTCTGGCTAAATTTTCATGTGTAGACCAAACCTCTGCTCCCTGGCCAAATTTCCAGACATGTGTAGACCAAACCTCTGCTCTCTGGCCAAATTTCCAGAC